CTGAAGCAGATCCATTTACACTAATTTGGAGGAAGGGGCTAGCTGTAGATATTCACAGTGGTCGTATTGGCAGCTGGCGAGGCGGTCATTACTAATCTAAAGGCACCCGCGGGAGTGGAGAGAGAGTGGATTGATGCAAACGCTTCTGCATGCGAGCATGTGTGTACATGTGTGTGCTGGGTGAAAAGGTTGAGACACCGCAGCGGGGTCATGCTTATAAAATGTGGGGGTCAATGGCAAAGAGCAACAGAGGTCGAGCCTGTAATGGGAGCCATTTTTCATTTCTCATCCCACGCTCCGAGTTAGCGGTGAGAGTGAAGAAGTGAACTGCAGGAAATGGCATTTCAATGTGCGTAACCTCTCGCTTCGCAGCGTCCCCTTTTGACAGGGAATGGCAGGTCCTTCTCATCTCTCTCTGGCCGGCTCATATATCACTCAGAGCTCTCGCACCACCTCTCCATCCCAAGAGACGGAGGCCTGAGAGAGCGGGAGGGACGAGTGCAGGTGATGCGGGCGGACCGCTCCGCAATCTAGCAGCTACTCAACAATCAGCGACACATCTATCACTGGGCCGAAAAAGTAATTTTGAAACCGAGTGACACACATACACATGTATCCCCGGCCCGTGATATAAATGAACCACACTTGACAGCCACTGAGCTGCTGTGAACGTTTAAAAAGGCCTATCGACTGCTCTTGTTGTGAAGGAGCCCAGCGTATAGACCGAGCCGAGGTTGACAAAGAGAACAAGAACTCCTGCAGAATTGCTATTCCTCTGTAAACCCAGAGAGTCCAGCCACTTGGTGGCACTAGCAGCCAAAATCAATGAGAGGAAACAGAGAGGGGGTGTATCTGGGTGTAACAGATAGAGCTGTAGGAATATTCAGTTTCCATAATATAGCACGAGCCATGAATATTCTCAACAGCAGGCACAGGACTATCAAAATAAATCATGTGCTGTAAAGCTCTTACTGAAGATGAATATTTCAGTTTTGGGGCTGCTGTGAGAGCAGTCGGCTCTGCCAGGAAACAGTGTGGGCAACTTCATGTGGGGTGAGTTGTGGGGAAAAATCAGGCACACACACACATACACCAACAAATGCTTCGTGTTGCCTGTGTCAGTGATCCTTTTCACTTTCACACTCTGGTCTGTGATATGAGGGCCGCTAGGCCAGAGGGGAAAGCTCGTTTGTGATTCAGGTCGTGCCGGAGCCTAAATGTCATTGGCCGGAGCTCAGCAGGTTAATTAAAGGCGTCTTGTCATCTTTGTCCGCCTTGACCCAGCCTGAAATCTGATTGGATACAGCACCGCCCCCGCCTCTATTATAACCTTCCTGCTGTGTTGTTTGATATTAACCAGGACATAAGCATTCATTATCATCATGAGGGTAAAATACAATGTCAGAGAAGCTATAAAAAATTTACCTTTAATTGTAATTTATTTGCCTGTCCAGACTAGAGCTGAAACTTTTAGTTCATTAATTAAATGAGTAAATGAATAATTAATTAAAATGTTGTTTTTTGTTTTGCTTATTGTTTCTTCATTTGGATGTTTTACCTTCACTGTCCAGTGTGCTTTTATATTCATTGGCTGAAGGACGACGGTTTCTCCAAAATCTCTATAAATAGTGCTGTGGGTCCTATGACACAAACAACAAGAGCAACATCAACATCCC